AGCTGGAAGCCATTCTAGGGAATCAGCCCCAGGTTCAGTAAGGGAGCCCATCTTAATAAACAAATAAATAAATAAAGTGGAGAATGCTTGATGAAGACTCTCGGCATCAACCTCTGGCCCCCACGCACATGTGCACCCCTCCACTCACAACTGTGAGCTTGAGTGCACACTGACACAACTGTGCACACAGGCAAAACTATAATACACAGACACACAGACAGACACACGGGGGTGGGGGGTGCGCGGCGCGGTGTGGACAATTGGAACTGGTAATGCATGCTAGCCTACAACCCAAGAGAAACGTGTAATACAACAAAGCAAAAGAGGACTGGGGTGCAGCTCAGTGGCACAGCACGGACGTGGCATGCGAAAGGCCTTTGGTTCAATTGCCAGTACCAGCAAACAAACAAGCAGTATTGGAGGAAATAAAGACTAAGTATGGAGAAGGAAATGAACAACTCACAAATTCTTAGATTGTCAAGAGAAGATACCAAAGAAAAAGGAACATGGTAGTCCTCCCTCCAGCCCCAAAGATTAAAATACTCTTGGGATAAACAAGCAAAGCTGTGCAAATATATCAGAGGGAATTTTTCTAATGGAAAGCAGAGGAGAAACAAGGAAAGTTGAAGACCAGACTCCAAGAAGCATAAACAAACAAAACCCACAACAGTTGCAATTAGAAAAGAGTATCCCTGCCTTAGTTGTGTGTGTGTGTGTGTGTGTGTGTGTGAGTTTATATGCACACATAATGGTTCTAATTTATGTGCCACATGAAGGGCAAAGAAAAAGGAAGATAAAGGGGCTTGGTCAGTTTTGCCCACAGGTCTTGTTCGCGGCTATCACAGCAGATAACATTGGCCACTCCAAAGCACATCACTGGAAAACGGAGCATGATGACTAGGAAAATCATCCACCTTCCAAAGAAAGGCTGAGGGGAGACAAAAATTCTAAAGGACTCGGGCTCTGGAGCCTTGGAAAGACAGACCTTAAAAGTTCTGGAAGAAGTTGGGCGGTGGTGGTGCACACGTTTAGTCCCAGCACTCAGGAGGCAGAGGTAGATGGAGTTCAAGGCCAGCCTAGTCTACAAGTTCAAGGCCAGCCTCCAAAGCCACAGAGAAACCCTGTCTCGAAAAACAAAAACATACAAACAAAAGAAGAAGAGGGTCTTCCAGTATTCAGTAGGAAGGTTCATTCTCCAGCCACACTGAAGATAGGAGCATTCTGCAGAGAGCTCCATGCTGCAGAGAGCTCCGGAGTCAGCCCTTTCAGCCTGAGGTAGAGGTAAGAATTAGTGGCCAGCTGCTTTGCTTTTTCTGATCTTCAGCTTAAGGTTTGAACACCAATATCAGTCTCTAGGTCCTTTATTTTTTCAGGTACACATTAATATGCACAATTCTTATGGTTTTGTATATCAGTTAAAATCAACTATTAAAAAAAAAAACACATCCTAAAAGTTACTACAGATATCTCCTTGAGAAAGGGAAAAACTGAGAGCAAGAACCAGGAGAGCATGGGGGTAGGGGTGCACAACAAACTCCCTGTGCCTAGGTGGCCTGGAAGGATAGAGAGAACACTTCCCAACCAGGGCCATAGGAGGAGAAGTTAGACTTAAATCACTGAAAAAAAAATAGAGAAAACTACCTGGTGGCCCACCCCTGGAGTAGGAGCCGCGGCAGGTTGGCACGGAGTTTGAGGCCAGCACGGTCTACATAGGGAGACCTTGATCCCAAAACCACAAAGTAACAACGACAACAACAAACCCTGTAGCACATGACATTTGTATCCTACTTACAAATTATGGAAATCCAATGCCACAGTTTAACAGATGTCATCAGAAGAGGTATTCTTGGCAGGTATTGGCAGTTTTCCTAGCATGGTGCAGGGAGCCAGAGCATCCAGGAGGGGTGGAGTAGGAACGTGGAAGGACCTAGCCTCTTCTTCTTGTATTGTGTATTATGCAGACACCCTTAAATGCTAACTAAGCCCAGTTGGCTCACTCGGGCTAAGTGTGAGAGACCCTGTTGAGCAGCAAGAAACACACTACCCCGTATCCTTTCTGAAATTCCTGGTAAGTATAACTTCCATGAAAATCAAATGAACAGTTGTACTTAATAAAACAGTCTTCACAGTCACACTCCTTCCAATTTGTCACCATTTCTTTGCCAAGTAGACCCAGAGACGGGGTCAATCCAGAAAGAGCTGGAGTGGTCCGGAAACTCCAGCTAGTCCCAAGGCAAGCAGAGGAACGGTTCTCTACCAAGTTACTTCTGGAAACCCGGAAACTGCCCAGCTGCAGGCTGTGGGCGCATAAGTACCCCAAGCACAGGTCACACCCTCTGATAGTGTAAAATGGTTTCTCATGGTGTAATAGGTGATTGAACCAGCCTAGATCTGAAACACAATCCTGGCACTTATCCCAGCACTCCAGAGACAGAGGCAGGAGAATTGCCACAACGTCTTGATCTAAAGTGAATCCAATTTTCTGACATTGTCATCTACAGAGTTCACAAGAACAGAAATAAAGTAACACACAGTTCTTATATTTGTTTATTGGTTTCTCTGTGTAGCATGGTTGTCCTGGATCTCTTCTGTAGACCATGCTGACCTTGAACCTGCTTCTCCTCCTCCTCCTCCTCCTCCTCCTCCTCCTCCTCCTCCTTCCTCTTCCTCCTTCTCTTCCTTTTAGATTTCTGATTTTTGAGGCAAGGCCCAGCTTTGCTGTGCTGGCTGCCCTGGAGTTTGGGCAGGTGTATCCAAAATACAGCTCCCAAAGTGACCAAGTACACCACCCTAAATTTACTGAAACATGAAGGTTGAAAACAAAACAGCCGGGCGGTGGTAGCACACACCTTTAATTCCAGCACTCCGAGGCAGGTGGATCCCTGTGAGTTCAAGGCCAGTCTGGTCTATAGAGGGAGTTCTTGGACAGACAAAGCTACACAGAGAAACCCTGTCTCTAAAAGGAAGGAAGGAAGGAAGGAAGGAAGGAAGGAAGGAAGGAAGGAAGGAAGGAAGGAAGGAAGGAAGGAAGGAGGAAGATGAGGCGAGGAGAGAGAGAGGAGAGAGAGAGAGAGAGAGAGAGAGAGAGAGAGAGAGAGAGAGAGAGAGAGAGAGAGAGAGAGAGAGAGAGAGAGAGAGAGAGAGAGAGAGGGAAAGAAAAAAGAAAAAGTGTCGGGTAGTGGTGGCACACGCCTCAGAGGCAGAAGGATTTCCAGGTCCGAGTCCCCCCACCCCCCCTGGTCTACACAGTGAGTTCCAGGACAGCCAGGGCTACACAGGGAAACCCTGCCTCGAAGGAAAAAGAGAAAAAGAAGTTGTCAGATCTCCCACTGCAGCGGGCCTGGGGGCGGTGGCCGCTCTCTTGGTGGCGGGTGCAGGTGCAGTTGCACGATGTTCCAGTGCGCCAGAGCACCGGAGACACTGGTCCATCCCGGCCGGTCCTGCCTCGCAGGGGGGTGGTGGCCTCTTCCCCGCGGGGCAGCTCTGGCCGCGCCTTCCCGGAGACCATGGAGGAGGCGGTGCGCACTTATCGACCCCATCTCCCGTTACATAAGGCGCGCCCCTATCTCCCCGGGCCATCGCCTCGCCAGCGCGCCTTCTCCCACGCGCAAGGGGCGCCTACCCGCTGCTCCCCGCACGCCTTCTGCTTGTCTTGAGGGGCAGGGGCACGTTGACTCATCCATACCCGAGGTGTTTCCCCGAGCCTTCCCCCACCGAGGAGACCTCCAAGGTCCTGTCCTCCAAATTGAGAAACTGAGGCCCCACAGGGGTCACTTGTCTAGACAAAGCACTCTTAAGTCCTGTGCGGCCGCCAGGCGTAGAGACATGTTTCCAGTTCCCAGGTCTGCAGACAGGCAGGGAAGCCTCCACTGTGGACACAGCTGTCCCAATGCGGGGAGAGCTGGCGGGGCTAGGTCGTGCAGGTGTGAGGGTACCGGAGTCACTTGAGGACGCTTGTGAGAAGCTTGAGTCTGGCTGAGGAGAAGAAGTAGGTCAGGGACAGTCTGAGAAAGAAGAGAGGGGCATGAAGGGGCCGCTGCTGGCCTAAGGGGGGAAGTGGGTGAGGGAGCATCTTGACATCACCACCCAATAAGCAAATGCTGTGGCCTCTGCAGAGGGTGGGTAGTTGAATATGAGGAAAGAGTAGGGAAAAGGCCATGTTATGGCACCCTTGCAGCTGAAGGCTGCCTGCAGGAGACAGGCCCAGGAGCTGCCTTTCTCTCATCCTGAACATTCTGGGAAATTTGAGGCCCTGAAGGGCCAACCCTGCTTCTGTGGGAGGCAGTGCGGTGGCCCAGGTCGGCCATATCAGCGCAGTCGAGCTCTCTGACTTGGGCTGGAGTTTGAGCAGCCAGCTACCTACCCAACCCCCACCTCCACCACCCCTAGCTATAGTGTCCTAGCAGAAAGGCCAGGACAGAAGGCCGCCCATCGGCAGAATTAGCATCAGAACGATGTTACCCATATAAGGTCAGGGGAATACCTGAGCTGGCCGCATCTCAGTAAACCTTTGTACTGCAGGAACTTCTCTAATCAATCCCTCCCACTTGTGAAGCTGAGTGGTGGGAGTGAATTTTCCTTACTCTTTGTCCTGTTTGAATTCTGTATCCTTTGATGATTTATGAAATATGTGCGTTGAAATTAAGAAGGGGGAAGAAAGAAAGAAAGAAAGAAAGAAAGAAGGAAGGAAGGAAGGAAGGAAGGAAGGAAGGAAGGAAGGAAGGAAGGCGACTTCCCTGGTTCTCACAGTAGACGGATACTGTCAGATACTTAGTGACCCAAATGGACTGGCTGCCCATGAGCTTGGAGCGGTCCTCGGACAGAATTACTACTAGCTTTGCGGATGCACACCTAGGAAATAAGCCACCACTATCTTGGAAACTCTGTCCCAGACCCTTCTCAATAAATCCACTAAATCAGACTCTTTCCTTTAGACGGCACTGGATTTTCCAAAAAAGCAAAAAAAAAAAAAAAATCAAGATGAGTAAAGATGTGGTTTTCAGATAATGCCCAACAAAGCAGCGACCAAAGGCGAGGCGTCACCACTTGGGCTTATAAAAGCTTCTGCAACAGGCTAAGGCCATAAGCCACTAGCTTAGGCCAGCATACGATTCTTCTGCTCCTTGGTTCTCTTCCTTCGCCCTGGGCTTCATGGCACTCTGGGTGACCGTAGTCCTGGCCGTCGCCTGCCTTGGTGGTCTTGCTGCCCCAGGCCCAGTACCAAGATCCATGTCTCCTCCTGTGGCCCTCAGGGAGCTTATTGAGGAGCTGAGCAACATCACACAAGACCAGAGGGTGAGTAACACCCCCCCTCCCAGGAGGATAGCACGATCAGGCTGGGTCTGGCCCTGTATGTATGACAGAAGCAGTCCCCAGTCCCCAGGCTCAAAAGGGAGGGAGAAGGGAAGCTAATTGTGGGGGGTGGGGGCAGTGTGGCCAGTGAGGGGTCTGCTAGAGGAAAGACCTTTACTCCTGGACATGTTTACTCCAAGAAAACCTGTGGAAGTGAGGTTTCTATGGGCACAGGGAAGGGTTGGGATGTGAGTAATCAAAGGCTGGTGAGCACAAGAGTGCCAGGTGACCCTTAAAACTCTGTGATGGCCAGGTCCTATCAGGGGTCTGCTGGGGGATGGCCACAATCTGGGAAAACAAGCTACTCAAGTTTTGGAATGCTGGTTACTGTGGTTTTCAGAAATGGCCACTGTTTAACCAAAGTGGAGGACTTTCTCAAAATGGCGGGGCCATGGCTAGCAAGTGAACCTTGGCAGAGTCACTAGGGGCCTGGCCCCACTCCCTACCAGCTCAGCACCCTTCCACAGAGGAAAACAGGGCAGGGCCAGCAGCTCCCTAGGCCATTTGGCATCTACCAACTGGATCCCACATGTCCCAGTCATGATGTCAGGCAGCTGGACAGATGGCCCTGCAGCCTTGACTCCCTCCCGACTGGCATATTGGCTCACGCTGTCTGACCATTGCTTATTGCTAAGCCTGGTGTTATGCCATGTTGTCCCTACTGATTCCTCCAGAGGAGGGCACAGTGGCTTCATTTTGTAAGGTTCAGGAAGGTTAATGTCAGAGTCTAGACTCAAGTCTTGCAAGAATCAGTTGTGGCTTCATGTGTGTGTGTTTCTCTAACATAGTCTCCCATTCAGAGAACAGACTAATACTACACATCGGGCATCTACTGCCTCAGGTCTGACTTGACCAAGTCAACAGCATCCCCACCCACCCCTGGGCCAAACCCCACTCTGGCCTTCTCTATAGGCCTCCATCCTCTTGCCCAGACTGTGCCAAGCTTCAGATAGGCATTTTCCTTGTTAATAGCTGCTCCATGTTCCTCTCTCCGCTCCGGGGCTCTAATTCCTGCCCCAGCCCCTCCTGTAGAGGAGACACTGGAGCTTAGGGTGTTGAGGGGTGCCGGTGGGCCTGGCCTGCTGGGCAGGCCCATGACTTCTGCTACCACTCTGCTCATGTCATGTCTCTTTGCTTCCGCAGGCTCCCCTGTGCAATGGCAGCATGGTATGGAGCGTGGATCTGACAAATGGCGGGGTAAGCAGCCTGGGCTTCAGGATGGGGTGGTGGCTGTAGGCCTTGGGCTCTCTCTGGGCCCTGCTCAGGCAGCTAGGGCTTTGCAAGTCACTCTCAGAGCTCGGTATGCCTGAAATATCAGAATTTCAGAGGCAGGAGGATTACCATGAGTTTGAGGCCAGTCTAGAGTAGTAAGTTCTCGGCTGTCCTGGGCTACAGAATGAGATCCTGTCTCACAGAAATGAACTGTAAAAGCAAACTCTAGCTCAGTGGTTCTCAGCCTTCCTGATGCTGCAACCCTTTAATAAAGTTCCTCATAAAATTATTTTCATTGTTACATCACAACTGTAATTTTGCTGTTATAAATCATAACGTAAGTATCTGATATGCAGGATATCTGATACATGACCCCAAAGGCATCACAACCCACAGGATGAAGACCACTGCTTGAGAAGCTACACACTCACTCCTTATAATCTAGGCTCCCCCTGCCACCCACAGCCATCTGGCTATTCCAACTTCCTTCCTGTGACCTGGGCCCTCTTCTCCCATAGTTCTGTGCAGCCCTGGATTCCCTGACCAACATCTCTAGTTGCAGACCCATCTACAAGACCCAGAGGATATTGAACGGGCTCTGCGTCCGAAGGGCATCAGCTGGGGTAAGGCTTGTTCCATCCCTACCCCACTACTGCTAGCCTGGCTGAATGCCTCATGTCTGTGTCCGCCCAAGAGCGGTAGGGACCCAGATTTAAGGAGTTACAGGTCCTGGACTCCCAACTTTAACCTGAGCCTCAGTTTCCACATTTGTGAAGCAGAGGTGAAAACAGACCCCACCGGGCAGGGACTTTTGAGAGCATTGCATGGAAAGCCCCTGGTGGGTGCTGGCTGTCCTTGATGTTGGCGTCCCTGTAACGGATGGGCCTCTCCACTGTTTTACAGGTTTCCAGTCTCCCAGATACCAAAGTTGAAGTGGTCCAGTTTATTGTAACACTGCTCAGCTACTCAAGGCAACTTTATCGCCACGGCAAATTCCCCTGAAGACAGAGAAGCAGAGACAGGCCCTGGTCATCTCGGATGTGGAGTCCTTTTTCTTTCTCACATCAGACATTTCTTGGGGAGGCAGGGAGGGGGGTTGGGAACGGATGAGATTGTCTTAGCCTGCACTGCCTGCCTAGTGCCAGGGGGCCCAGCCTGGCAACCTCCTCTGTCACCCATCCCTACGCCTGGGGCCCACTTCACACAGGCCAATTGAGGCAGAGAGCAGCTTGGGCACATCTCTTCTTGATCTTATTTATTATGGATTTATGTTATTTAAATGAGTCTGTCAGTATTAGGGCAGGGGAATGGTTTGTTGCCTATGCCCTGAGACTTGGGGACCCAGCCCTGATGCAGTGGGCTCTGGGGTCCCTGGCAATGATTACTGTATACACAATTCTGCTACCTCACTGGGGCCTCCAGGTCTCACCTCAGGCAGGGGACAGGAGGGAAGGCCAGAGCCACGCTCCTGTCTGCCAGCCAGCAGCAACCAGCCCTCAGCCATGAAGTAACTTATTGTTTTATCCTTATATTTAAAATATTAACTAGGTTAGCAAAGAATTAATAATATATGAAAGAATGGCCTGTTACACCTAAGGTGATATGTGGGGAATGGGGTGGGGGGTGTCACTGAACAAGTTTTTTCATTGACTATCAGACTAGAAACTGGAAATAAAGATGGTGACAGATAAGCCTGCCTGCTTTTGCCTTCTCTTTTGATCTCTGGGATGCTGGCCCGTGGGCTCCAAACTGAGGAGCTCGGTGTGAGGCAGGCTGCTCAAAGCAGGAGTGAAGGACAAGCCCTGGGCTGAGAGCAAACCCTCTGGGGGGGGGGGGGAGTTAGTAGAGGAGACTCTCTACTCTTGGTGAACAGAGCAGGCTTGGTCCAGGAAGCTGGGGCTCAAGAGGGATGTCTGGAACAGGCGGGGGAACCTCTTGGGTATCTCCTGATGACTGGCCAGCTGTGTCTGCACCGCCCACACGTCTCAGGTCTCCCTTGCCACAGTGGGAGGCACTAAGAGCCTCAGACAGGGTGGGGGCAGGAGGCTTGCCCAAGGCACCCGCTGGGAAAGACCAAAGCCCACACTGCCTCTTTTCAAAGGTCGCCAGCTGAAACACATGGCCCTTCTCCACTATATTGCCTGCTTGGATGTCCCCTGTTGATGGGGCATTCACTACTTACAATCTAGGGACAGCCTGTTCAATTTCTGGACTCCACTCGTCACTGCTTTGTAAGCCAGGATGAATCAGTTGACATGTGGGAGACTGGGGGAGAATGACAAGGCCATGGAAGATGGCACCTCAGGGCAGGTGGCCTGCCTCCCCCTTGCTGGCCCAGAAGCTAGAGTGGTGAGTGTGTCTGCGTCAGTAAGCCCTGGCTAACATGGTGTCTGTCAGCATCCTTGGGAAGTGCTGTCCAGAGTAGAAAGAGACCTAGTAGGACAGGGTGCCTCTGCAGCAGGTGTGGAGGGGGTTCAGAGACCAAACCCTGAATGCTAGGCAGGCCAGGACAGGAGATTCCAGCACTGAGAGCCACATGTCAGCAGGAGTTCATCCAGTCCTCGGGGAATCAGTTCCCTTCTTGCCTCACTGCCAACAAAGGAGAGAAGGGAAGAGGCCAAGCCATGGCATTGGGAGTTGGCACTAGGCAAGGAGAATCGCTGCAGAGGGGCGTGGGATGTGTGCAGCAGGGCACGGGGCTTCCAGGAGTACCAAAGGGGTCACTTTCCCTGAGGACCTCCTGTGCCTGGCACAACACCAGTCACCTAGACTAGGGACTGCAAGATGTGGTACCAGACAGAGCTTACAAATGTGGGGAGAAGGATGCTCTCCTCCACCCTCCCTGCTAGGGGTACTTTGCAAAGTCAGGGGTGAGTGATGATCTTGACATCCTCCACCCATAGCCTAGAATCAAAGACTAGATGGATTGTTTTGTTTTGTTGGTTTTTCCAGACAGCGTAGCCCTGGCTGTCCTGGAACTTGCTCTGTAGTCCAGGCTGGCCTCGAACTCAGAGATTCACCTGCTTCAGCCTTCCTAGTGCTGGGATTAAAGTTGTGTGTCACCACCAACCACCTTGGTTGGTTGTTTAAGAAAAGGGTCATGTGTGTGTGTATATATACATGTATGTACATGTGTGAATGCCCATTGTGTACATGTGTATGATGTGTGTGACTGTGCATGTATATATGTGTCCATGTGTATGACTGTGTGTATGCATGTGTATATATGTGTGTGTGTATATGTGTGAGTATATGTGTGTGTGCGTATGTGTATGTATGAGTATATGTGTGTGTGCATGTGTATGAGTGTGTGTGTATGTGTGTATGTGTGTGCATGTGTGTGTAAGAAGCTAGAGATCAACCTTGGGTGCTGTTCCTCAGGAGCAGTCCACCTCAAATTTTTTGTTTGTTTGTTTTTTGGGGGGACAGGGTTTCTCTGTGTAACAGTCCTGGCTGTCCTGGAACTCACCACCACTACCTGGCTCACCTTGGAATTTTTGTTTGTTTGATTTTTGGTTTTTCAAGACAGGATTTCTCTGTGTCCTGGCTGTCCTGGAACTCACTCTGCAGACCAGGTCTGCCTTGAACTCACAGAGATCTGACAGCATCTGCTTCTGTGTGCTGGGATTAAAGGCGGGTGACACCACTGCTGGCTGAACCTTGTTTTTCTATATAGGTCTTTCACTCACTGGTGTAGGACTGGCCTGCTGGGCTATCTGAACCTTGTTTTTCTATATAGGTCTTTCACTCACTGGTGTAGGACTGGCCTGCTGGGCTATCTGAACCTTGTTTTTCTATATAGGTCTTTCACTCACTGGTGTAGGACTGGCCTGCTGGGCTATCTATGCTGCTTGGTCAACAATCCCCAGAGATGCTCTGGTCTCTGTCTCCCAGCGCTGGAGTTACACGTGTGCACCATCCTACCCTCTCTCATGCTTTCAAGGCAAATAATTTACCCACCGAGCCATTTCCCCCTAGTGGCTCCAAGAATGGTGATTTTCTTAAAACAGAATCATTTTCCTAGCATTCTTTCATCTATAAAGCTCCATCTTTACCCAAGTCCCCTCTACTTGACCAAAGCGTCACCTGTCTATCTGAAATAAGGGAGCAGTTTGGGGATAAAACACTTGCTGTGCAATCCTATTGCCTGAATTCCATCTCTGGGACCTACACAGAAGATCAGACACAGTGGAAGTGCCTGTCACCCCAGCACTCTTAGGTGATATGGGAGGTGAAGACAGGAGAATTGCCAGCAGCTCATGGGTCAGCCAACTCCCGGAAGGATGGAATGATAGGGCTGGGGAGATGACTGCGGTTAAGAGCACTGTTCTTCCAGAGGCCTCAGGTTCAATTCCCAGCCACGTGGTGGCTCACGACCAACTGTGACTCCAGTCCCAGGGGATCTGATGGTCTCTTCTGGCCTCCATAGGCACTGCTCACACATGGTATACAAACTCAGGCAAACCCTTATCACATAAAGTAAAAAACAAAATCTCAGGGATCTGATGGTCTCTTCTGGCCTCCATAGGCACTGCTCACACATGGTATACAAACTCAGGCAAACCCTTATCACATAAAGTAAAAAACAAAATCTCAGGGATCTGATGGTCTCTTCTGGCCTCCATAGGCACTGTTCACACATGGTATACAAACTCAGGCAAACCCTTATCACATAAAGTAAAAAACAAAATCTCAGCCCAGCATGGTGATGCACCTTTTTAACTAGCACTCAGGAGGCAGAGGCAGGTGGATCTCTGTGAGTTCAAGACCAGCCTGGTCTACAGAGTGAGTGAGTTCCAGGACAGCCTCAAAAACTATACAGAGAAACCCTGTCTCAGAAAAACTAAACTAAAAAAATTATTATTATTATTATTATTTTTTGAGACAGGATTTCTCTGTGTAACAGTCATAGCTGTCCTGGAACTCACTCTAGACCAGGCTGGCCTCTGCCTCCTAAAGGTGTACACTACTACTGCTCAGCTTAAAAAAATTTTTTAAGCCTGAAAGAAAACTAAAAGTTGTCCCTTGGCCTCCACATGTACACAGTGGCACAGGTACACATGCACTTAAAAATGTGTTCACACACACACACATCTGCTACACACACGCACCACACACACACACACACACACCAAGCTCTCCCTCTCCTCTCTCTACTCTGTCTGCTCTGTCTCTCTCCCCCACTCTCCCTTTTCCCTCTCCCCTTTGTCTCTCCTTCTCCTCCATCCCAGAACCATTCCAAAGGGAGCCTTCCTGTTACACGGTACATAAGGAGCCATACCAGGTCTGGCCACTAGGGGTCCACAGCTAGCTGCGTTCTCCGCCACCATGGACACAATCCTTCAAGCTAACTGTTACTCAGGCAGGGGTGAATCTCTGGTCCTCCATAAGGTGCACTGGGCCCTTCGGGAACAAAGGATAACTTGCATTGTCATAGAACAAAGCTGGTATAGCTGACAGCAAGGAGGTGGCCCAGTCAGGGACAAGAGGAAGAGGAAAAAACAGGAGAAATGTAAGTTTGGGAGCATCACCTAGAGGTCCTAGAGGGACTCCTAGGGAGCTGCTGGGACCTTTCCCTGTACACAAGGGCAACTCTCAGCTGCGCCCACAAGACAGGGGAGCCGAGAAGAGCTCAGGGCCCCTGAGGAGTGGGGGAGGCAGAGCTGGTCAGGGCAAGGGGTGAGTGGCCCCTCAGCACCCCAGGCCCGGAGATTTCACTGGAGGGAGGGAGGCTCTGGTGAGACGTGACACACACTCAGTTTCCGTTGAACTCAACAGCAAGGACTTCTGCCACTCAGGCAAAGTGTTGAAAACACAGTCACTGCAGGGGCTTCTCTGAGGCCAGTCCCTGAGGTGTTCAGGGTGAAGAGGAGTTGGGCAAAGGATGGTCCCATGTCTGTGTCCTGGGGCTGAGGGCAGCCGGGAGGATGGGGCTGATCAAGCCATCAGCTGTCACCCCTACACCTCAGCCAGTGCTCTGCCCTGCCGTCAGCTGGTCGGCGGAAGCCAGCCTCAGTCCTGCTTTTCCCTACTGAGGTGGCGGCAGGTGCCGTTGACATGTGTCTCGATGGAGACGCCCTGGGTGTGTGGTCCCACGCTTTAGGCTGGCCGGGACTGGGACTGTGTCCACAGGCACCCTCCCCCACACTGCCCTCCCAACTCTGAAGACTAAAAGTCACGAGGCCTCATTATCTTCATTCATTTCTCAGCTCCACCCAAAAGTGACAGAGTGCACGGCTTGTAACGAACTTTCCCAGGTCAACCCATTTCTCGTCAGCCAGGGAGGGCCCCCATGACGAAGCCATTCGAAATCCCAGAACCAATTTTCTACTTACGACCTCACTTTCTGTTGCTCTCTCCCTTCCCCTCCACAGTGCCATCTCGAGTGGAAAGTGATCCCCTCACAGAGGGAGTGTTTAACAAACGCCCCCAGTCCTGCCCTGCTAGGGCTGCTGTGTGGTCAGAGGTGACGCAGGCACCAAAACTAAACATAGCAGATCTTGTCACCTCCGCTCTGAGCATCACGGTGGACCAGCGTGTGGGGGCTGCACAGCTCTTCCTGAAGCCCTCCTGGGGAAGCAGCCCTCCTGGGGAAGCAGCCTGGCTGCTGGCTGTCCGGACCTGTGGGTCTGTGATTCCAGACATCCAGG